CGCTCTCCCAGTCGATCACCGATTTGATTTGGCCAGGGTTGTGTTTGCTAGATTTCAAACCTATAGGGTTTGATGGCATTTATTAGAGGTGTGTTTGCTAGATTTTAAACTTGTCAAACCATTGGTTAAACCTCCTATTAAACCGGTTAAACCGTGACCCAGTCGCCTGACCAGGTCACCCCCCGGGTCGGATTTTAAAACCTTGATTGTTACTATAAATAAATGTAGGGTTGATGATAACTTAAAGTCGGTTATAATTACAATTTAAATAAACTATTTTATTAGTGAATACTTGGATGAAATGCTTCCAAAATGCTTTTGGGATTCAATTTGAAATTCAAAGACGGAAGAATCTTGTTTCACTTTCTATAGTTTTAAATCACAAAATATTGTATAGTATTAGATCAAACATCTTTAGATATAATTTTATATCATATCAAAATATCAAAATTATAATTATGATACATTATACACGTATATAAATATATTATATATTATATATTAATATTATAATATCATGTATTATTGTATCAAGTAATAAGTATTAAACTATTAACATATAAATATATGATATTATGATTACGGATAATAGCATATTATGTATAATGTATAATACATTTGTAACATACTTATTATGTATTACATATATTTATAATGATTTATTATATTAATCTATTATTAGTTATTACCCATTTTTATATGATTTAATAAAATACTCACACAATTATAATTTGTTCTTGTATAATTTATGGCTTCAATGATTGATTTTCAACTATTGAAATTAATATAGAATTAAATAGTTAAAATTAAACCTTACTACAAATAATAATAATAATAATAAAATTAATAATATTGTATGGGCTGGGGATAGGGGTGTAAACGAGTCGAGCCGAGCTTTTGGCTTATCGAGCTCGACTCATTTACAACAGTGTCGAGCTCGAGCCTGACGGGCCTCAAAATTGAGACTCGAGCTCGAGTCGGCTCGCGAGCCAAGTTCGCGAGCCTTATCGAGCTCGAGCTCGAGCCGGCTCGCGAGCTCGTTATTGTGTTATTTCAAATTTGCACTTTGGGGGGGAAACTGTCATTTTTTAAAACTTTTTCACTGGAAAATATCGGTTTAATAACTAATAGTTTAAAAAATCACCAAAACACCCTGTGAAGTGTACAGTGCTTAATCCAGCCGAGCCAAGCTCGCGAGCCCACGAGCCGAGCCTGACTCGCGAGCCCACGAGCCGAGCTTCACTGTGTTCGAGCTCGACTCGGTTAACGAACCGAGTTCGAGTCGAGTCGAACCAAGCCTTATCGAGCTGAGCTCTAAACGAGCTTTTATCGCTTGGCTCAGCTCGGCTCGTTTACAGTCTTAGCTGGGGACAATTCAGGGGCGGGTCGGGGCAAGACCCGGCCCATCCATGAATTTGGGGATAGATTTTCAACTCGTGCTCGAAGTGAACCTCGAACAATTCGGGAAAACTCCGCCCCGTTGGGGCCAGGTCCTCGACTTAGCGGGGATTATGTCCATCCGTAAATATTAAGTTTATAGAGGGTTTAATAGACCCAAAGATTAGTTAAGGTACGCACAAGTTAACATAAATTACCTCGTTTATCTATATATATTATATATATATATAATATTATATATACAATATATATATATATATTATATATATATAGATACTATCACTTACGTTGATGAAAATTCTTTATAATATAACACTATCAAGTATCAACTACTTTGACTAAAGATTCTTATTCGTAATAGTACTTAGTTAATTCCACATCCTTTTCTTCTTTGACTTGTTGTGGCACTAATAATTTATAATTAATCTTATCAGATGCGTAATACCAAATTAAACATTTTCTCCTGAATCCAATCACTTTAATAATGTATTTATCTTGTTATAATAACTCCTAAATAAATCATTTAATGTCATAAATAGAATTGTTTATTTATTATTTTTAAATGAGTTTTTAAAGTATTGGCTAATATTAAAGCGAGTTCTAATTTCTAAACACAAGTAGAACTATTTTTGCATCTAGTGAAGGCAATATCCAGACTCCAGAGGTTGTTAACAAGAATCAACGTATGAAAAAGACAATACTAAATGAGCAATTGGCAGCAGGCAATAGCTGGTGAAGGTTGGTCTTGGGCTGTCAACATACAATCAAAACATGCAGCTTTTTACATGGACACCCGTCAGCTTTAGTGAAAAATACAAGGACACCCACTCCATTCAAAATGGATTACTTATACCCTTATAATAATTGAATCATGCTTGTGAAAACACTAAAAAGTAATTATCATAAGAGTATTTTTAAATCATTTAATATTTGGATTATGTGACAAATATCATACATTAGTTCCTTGTTATTGAAGGAGAAAAGACAAATAAGGGTTAATTAATCACTATACCAAAGATTATGTTTCAAAATTAACCTTTTACAAAGTGTCCAAGGGTATTCCATTTCAAAACTATAAGGGTGTAAGTGTTATATTCTGAAACCTATGAGTCTCCTGTTCGTTCATTAAACCTGAGGGGTGTCCATATAAAAAAAACCTTTCCAAAGATGATAGATGACGGGTCAACAAATCACAATCGTTTTTTTGCCTACTTGAATCCAATTTTAATTGAATTTCTTCTTTACTTATATAGTTAAGAAATGTGGGTCAAATTAAGCAGAAATAGCATTAACTTGTATGATATGTCCATTACTAGCACATGGCTGCTAAACGTTTCCAGCGATAGCAGATTTTAGTTTAGAATTTTAAGCAAAGATGAAATATAATTTGACTATAAATAGTTGGCCATTGTTTTGGGTGGTGTAATGGGAGACGTGTCTGAAATTTAAATGGTGCAAATTAATGAAATGCAGAGTTTAGGTATTGTAAGATGGGCTTCTGTCACTTCCGTTACTGAATTCTGATTTAAATAATGTGCCTAATTGTGCTATGTCACACTCACACTCAACCTATCAAATTTTAAATTTCCCAAAATCCCAATGAAGCCTAATTTGTATTTTTTTTGGTTAGTTTATTTTAGAGTAAAGGACTTTTTCCCACCCAAGGTTTGCCTTAATTATTTTCCACCCCAAAAGTTTTAAAATACCATTTTTTCACCCAAAGTTTATATTCTGTTAATACCCAAAGTCGATTCTCGCCAATTCTGATGGTACAAATTCTCTCCGTCACCACTATTTGAACCTCCGGTCTCTTCTCTATAAATTCTATCTCACTCAGGTATCTGATTTCTCATTGATTGACAATCACTGTAATGCTAAGGTTTCTAGTTTTTAGTTGATTTCAATGGTGAATATTCAATCGGCCACCATCATTCAATCCAACGACATCCACTCTACAAAACCCTTCTTACCCTAGCTCCTGATAACTCGTCAAACGTCGGCCGAGAAAATGAAGTGTATTTTGGGTATTAACGGAATATAAACTTCAAGTGGGAAAGTGATATTTTAAAACTTTATTTTATTTTGTGACATAAATTAAGGTCAATCTTATATTATAAAATAACCAAAGTCGGAGATTAATAATTGAAGAACAACAGTGTAAGTGCATTTAAATAAACATTGTAGGGCATAAGAATAAAGTGGAAATATGCAAATTGATAGCTAAAAACATAAATGTTCTTATCAAACGTCACTATTTTTTCTCAACTGAAGAACGTGATATTGTTGTTTTTTCTTCTTTTCCTCCACTAGCTCTTCCCATTAGTTTCAACAAAATTATCATACGAAAAGAAAATTGAATTTCAACTAAAATAACTGTTTAATTATTGGAGAACACTGTTTGTGGATAAGTTTGGGATTTCGGATAAGCGCTTATTCCGGGTCGATGTCCATCTAGTGGTATAGTTGCAGAGTAAATTGAGTGTGGTCGATGAAAGCATTAAAAATTGAAACGGACAAAACACACTGAATTCATGTTTTTGAGTTTTTTAAATTTTCTATTGTTTTGTTTGTTGAGATGCATTGCATTCTGCAATGGCCCCCCATTATTTTTGTGGGTTATACCAATTCTAGTAGTAGTCAAGGCCGGCAGCTTTAAGCAACTTGGTACTTGGTATTCAATTCATAATTTATTGGATAAGTTTGAGAGGATTAAGATTCATTGGATTAAATAATGTTGCCAATTCAATTATTGTTAACTTTTTCCCACCCAAGGTTTGTTTTAATGACGTTTTCCATCTAAAAAGTTTCAAAATACAACTTTTTCACCCAAAAGTTATATTCCGTTAATATCCAAAGCCGATTCCGGCCAACTTTAATAGCGAAAATTCTTTTCATCACAACTATTTCAACCTCTGGTCTCTTCTCTACAAAACCCCTCTCATTCTGACACCTGATTTCTTGCCGATTGCCGATCATTGCAAAACTGAGGTTTTTTTGTTCTTAACTGATTTCTGATGACATATATTCAATCTATCACCACCATTTGATCCATCGGTCTCCATTCTACAAAAACCATCTTACCTTGGCTCTTGATAACTCGTTGAACGCACATTTGAGAAAGTGAAATGTATTTTGGGTATTAACGGAATATAAACTTTTGGTGGAAAAGTAGTATTTTGAAACTTTTTTAGTGGGAAAATGTCATTAAGGCAAACCTTAGGTGTGAAAAAGTCGATTACTCTAATTTTGTAAATTGACCATTGTGGTTTATTTATTGTAACCTTTATTAATAATGTTTAAAGAAATTATAACTTAAATCACATTTGAAGTTATTGAATGTAATAGAACAATCCCCTTTTGTTGGAACGGAAATTGAACTGACAGCTTTCCGTCCAACATTAAGCCTTGAGTTTGTCTTCTTGTAGCGAACAGTAGAGAACATGGATAACGTTGTTGCATAGCCTCTCTCTAATACCTTCTTAAGTACTTTTAATCCATAATGTTGTTTTCCAAAACACCAGCAACAACAGACAATTTTATTACTTCAAATTTCAAAAATTCCTAAGATATAATTTACAAATGCATTTTCAAAAAACATATGTCCAAACTCGAAGCAAATTCTAATTCTGCATTTTATTAGCCCAGGTTAATCCAGGCAGAGCTAAAAGTACATAAAAACAAAATGGCCGACAATGAGTTGCTGCTACAACAAAACTGATCCTCTTCAAAAAAATCAAGTTACATCACATTGTTAAAGGGAAGAATGAGCCTCAATACTTGTAGTATCTGTATATGATTTAAAAAAATATATTGGTGTGTGCAAAGATAATATTTGGTCGACATCTAAATCTGGTGCTGCATGCAGCCAACTGTGGGTGTGTGCTCTTGCTGCTTTTACCACTCTTTTGGGGCCAACAGACGCTGAATGTAGATGAGATCTCCCATTTGAGCGGTTTCTTGGTTGGAATTTCTGGTGTGCTTGAATCATTGCCTTCAAACTCCCTTTATGGCTCAGAACTGAAGGAAAATGGACTGTATCAACTGGTACCGGGTGGTACTTGTGGTCCTGGATGCATGGAGTGGTTGGTTTTGGCAGCAATCTGCCTTCCTTCCACAATAAGAATGATTGTTGCAGCCTAGATGGAACCTGCAAAGCCAACAAAGTTATTTAGGAAAGAAGAAAATAATTTCAATTCAAATTTGATTTCCATAAGTTCCTAATTTAAAAAAAAAAAAAAAAAAAAAAAAAGGGGAAAATAAGGACACCATTCATACAGTTAAAATATATAATCAACATAATGAACCAATCAAACTATAAGGAATGGAATCTCATCATAATGAGCGCTCAAAGCAATTGTCAAAATAACAACTACTACACAAAAATGATTCACACAATTCACAGAATCTGCCACAACATTAACACGTTTCATGATTGGGGAGATGTGAGTATATTTCCATATGGTGCTTAATTTCACCATTATATTGTTTCAATGTTTTGTAATTTTACTTTCTTCTGTGCTGTGTAAAAAAATCAAGTACCCGTTATCTATATGCAAATCAGGCAAATAGAACATTCCTATTCTTGTCTCGCCACCCAAGACTCAGAACTTCATTGTATTCTTTGCAAATAACTTAATTCTCCTATAGAATACTTTAGAGATGATTATTATCCACTATTTGGTCAAATTTTACAAACAAATTTTCATAAAATTTCTTCTATCATTGTTTTTGAAAACAAAGAATTGTATTTAAATTCCAAATCAAACAGGGTTAATACAAAAGCTAGATTACTAAACACAAGCAGCAAATAATATACCCTTATGGGGAATTATCATTTCAACCATGGCAGCAAACAAGTAATTTATACATGTTATACACAAATTATCAACCTGAGTCATTCAATCCATGTAGCTGTTTAAATTGTCTATTGCTAAAGGCTGAAACTAAAAACATCCACAAATTTAAACCTGAGCAACACAAACTTGTATTAGCAAGCAAATAACTTTTCGCAATGACTATTACAGTACATATTTCATGGGAATCAGAACTCACCGATGAAACAAGGCTACGAGAAGCAAATGACAATGATAACGATGAAAAGGGAGATTCCCCAGATTTTTTCCCCGTCTGGTCATTCTTTGATGAATCCTGATCTCCAGTAACAGATCCAAAACTGGATGGTGTATTATCCTCCTCCTCCTCCTCTTCTTCTTCTTCCTCATCCTCATCCTCACCCTCACCCACTTCTACCTTTTCTTCACCTATAACCTTCTCAGCTTGGCTAGGCAAAGCAGAAGTATCTTCTTCCTCCAAACCTGTATCCACCTTCTTCTCTTCCTCTTCCTCTCTTTTCTTCAAATCCTCATCCAAGTCCTCAATCGCCTCTTCCAGACACAATTCAGCCTCAATAAGATCAAGTTCTTTTTCATAAAGCTGCATCTTCAACTCACTCACTTTCTTCTGCTCTTCAGTCCAATTCTCTAATTTATCAAGCACTGGCTTAAATACCTTTTCTATGGCCATTACAACACGCTGCCACATGGTTTTTTTCTCCTCAGCCGGTTGTCGTCCATAAAACTCATCAAAACCAAGTGGCAGAAACTCAATCTCCTTGGAATCTATATCTTCCCCTTCTTTCAAAGGTGGCTGCCAAAATAATCGTACTCCATATTTCTCATCTTCAATATAATTAATTAATCGACCAGTTGGTGTATGTAGGATGAGGGGATCCTCAGTATATATAAACTTCGATGGATCTTCGGGATCAGGCTCTGGTTCCTTGTTAACCAAGATAAATTCGGGAGGCTCCTCTGATACAGAAAAATGCAATGGACATCAAGCATAGCACATCCATTTCAAGCTAAAGAACTTAATAAAACAGGCAGTTAATGCACCAGAAAAGAGCAGGAAATAAGAACGCTAACAATAAAATAGTGAAATACTAAGCATGGTAAGTGCCACACCACATAATTGCTTCTTCAAACGAAATGCCAGGTTTCTTATATTCACCAGTCATTGACCAAATTTAAACTGTCAAACATTGAATCTTTTACTAAAGTGAAAAACAAATTAAAATAACTTTATCCCTCTTATTTTGTCCTCCATTTTGTTACATTAGATATTAATAAAAGACCAAGAAAGCTGTATTCGGTTGATGATAAAAATGCTCAGTAATAAAAGGAATGGTACATGTATTCAAGGCAAAATTATTAAGATACAAGAGATTTTGTCTTGGTAGCAGTTAAAGAGAACCACTCACCTTTTCTACATCAAGAAATCACCAATATTTGGTTAGCAAGGAGTAAATAAAAGGACAAGCAAGATGACCCAAAAAAAAAAAAAAAAAAAGGATAACATAAGAAATGATTGAAGTGCTTTAAAGAAAGAGCATTTGTCTTATGGTTTGCATATCACAAGCAGACCACTTACCGAACTTAACACCAATATTAGACATAAAATTCTTTGTACCAAGCCACACAGAGAGAGAAATAGAGACAGAGAGATACAGAGAAATGATGAGAATGATATACCTTTCTCCCACCAGTATTCAAGCTCTGCAGGCATAGGTATCCTAAATGGGGATTTATAAAAAGAGTTTAACCATATTTCTCTCTCCTGATCAATCTCATGAACATATGTTTTCCAATAATCAGGTACCTGCCAAATGAATGCACTCATATCTCAGTTCCTTGAGTATCGCAAACGAGTTTACTAGGCAAATATAAAGTTCAATTACTTCATAGAACTGGTTAATGAAGCCTGGTGCCATCCACACATCTTCTTCTTCATAGAAATAGGGATGTTGAGGATCGCTATATGGACCCCTCTCTTCTCTAACCACTTTAGCAAGAAAAAAAATGAAATTATTGTTAAAGAGGTGTGAGTTGTAACAGTGACTAAAATTTTGCAAAGCAAAAATAATAATAATAATTAATAGCTCCAAACAATGTGCATGTTTAATTTATATCATTAATTAAGTCTCCATTAGATAAAAACTATGAAAGAGGTACATTCCAGAAAACAGGATTCAGGCCACGACCAAGAACAAGGACAAAAACACAATTCAGTATAGTATGTCCAATAGCTCTATTAATGTAAATTAAAGTTTTCCTTTTTCCTTTTTGGGCCTCATATAATCAGATAATTGTCAAGGCTTTTGAGGAAATATTCAACCAATAATTTGTGCAATTCCATATGTATCTCGTCACATAACTCGGTTCATCACATATATGCACCCAAATCAACGAGCATGATAATTTGTTGACAAGAGGGTACACGGTAAGCCTATGATATTATTGTCCCTTTTCCATGTTGCATACCTGCATTCAATTATAAGCTACCAGTCCAACGAGTTAAAGAGTAAGCATTCCTAGTCAGTTAGAGGGTAGCAATTGACTAGCTTCCACATGAAACAATCCTTACATCAAAAAGCTAGTCCTTTCCAGATAAATTAATAACAAAATTAAAAATACATACTTCCATCTGGTTTGTTAACAAACATCCTAGCTTTAGCTGCAGCTACTTCTGCAAGACCTGCATGCAGCTGAAAGAACCATAATATCAGTAAAAATTTTCACTCTAGCTGAGAGAGATTCTTTTCACCACCACAACATAATTCATGAACAAGTAAAGAGCTTTAATATACCGCAACATTCTCTTCATCACAACCTTCGGAGTCCTCCAGTAGCTCCCCAAAGTAGAACCTGCCCTGAATTTATATACAGGATATAAAGTCAAACGGTTAAGGTCAAAAAAAATGTAACATGTGAGGTTTATCATACAGGAGAAAAGAAACCATATAACAAGGGCAAATTAATTGCAAAATTTAAGAACAAAACTGAATCATAACATCAAATATAATGGACATCTCCAGAAATAATACTTCCATCTCATATTTCACAAAACTGTAACAGATCAATTTCATATCTTTTCTAGCAAAAGGCAATAGTCATGGAAAACGGACTTAAGAGCATATAATGTCTAGGCCCATTTTGCATTTTTAACAAAAATTAAAGTTAAGCCCCCAAATTCCAAAAACTTGAAAACAGAAATGGATCCACTGATTAGTGGTTATATTTCAGGGACCTACAGAAATGGGGTTCTCGTTGACTTCATATAGACCACACCCATGCATTCTTCCAAGCTTCCACTGACCAGCATAGCGGTATCGACCTTTCTCGCTGTATCAGATCCACTATCATCAATAATCTTGAAAAAGATTCCTCAGACATAAAAGGAAAAGGAAAAAAATCATATATCATATCACTATGAAAAGAAATAGATAGTCCTATTTATCAACAACATACTTTAGACGAGAATTGTTGAGCTTAGATACACTTAATTTGGTAATCATAGCCTGAAAAAGAAAATTGTTTGAGTTGGCAATTTAAGATGGTAAGCTGGTTGTTGATACTAAATCATTCTGCATTGTTCTTAAGTCAACAATCCACTGAATTACATGCTGAGACATGGGATAAAGCTGCAGACCAAGAAGTTCTTTGAAGTAATTATGTCCCTTTTAATATTAATTGTGAGAGTACTAAATTATAATGACATTATATTAGAAAGACAACATTAAAAAATTGATTAACAAACTCATCTGGCACATTTTTATATGTACATATTCGTAAGTCCAAGTCTTTTAATGTTATTCAATGGATGTGACCATTCCTCTAATTTTTGTTACCTTCTCATAACAACTTTTCAATTGATTTAGAACTAAGTCTGATTAGTATTCAATATGACATGAATGCAGACAATCCTATTTACCTCCTAAACACTCAACATTCTTTGGCAGAAAAGCAAGGCACATGGTCAAAACATAGGGAAGTGGTTCTCTTGGTATAACTTAGATGTCCTAACTAGTAGCATTGAGATAAAGCCTAGGTGCCTTGGCACACATAACAAGAATATGAATTCTGATCCAAAAACAAACAGCAAACATGATGCTAACAAAAAACTATAGCTCCGTTTGATTCACTCTTCCAAATAGCATTTTGGGTTTTCCCAATAAAGTTAAACAGTACAATTGGCTTATTCTCAAAATATTATTCCATATTATTCAATTTCTTTAAAACCCCCTAAATTTGTTAATTTAACTAAACACCCCCAAATTTTTTTTAGAAATTGCAAAAACACCCCAGCAACCCACATTTACCAGATTCCGGCCACCACTGCCGGAAGCTGGCCGGAATCTGGTATAATAGCGCACTACCAGCTAAATCTAGCCGGTAGTCCACCGATCTAGCCTTTTCCGACCAGATTCATAGTGGACTTGGCCGGAAAAGGCCAAATCTTTGGCCGTAGCCAGTTGTCAACGACGGCCAAGGTATGGTCGTCGTTGACCATCAACGACGGCCGTATCTTTGGCCGTTGTTGACGACCAAATGCTTAGCCTTTTTCGGCCAAATCTGGATTTGGCCGGAAAAGGTCGTATCGGCCCACGATCGACAAGATCTTGCCGGTCATACGCCGAATCCGGCCACCCTCTGGCGGTGGTCGCCGGCTGTCCGTATTTAATGGGTGGGTTGGGGGTGTTTTTATTAACTTTTGATATTTTATTAGGGGTGTTTAGTAAATAAACAAACATAGAGGGTATTTTTGTTAATTTCCAAATCCTACATTGTAATACTCACCCAATTTAACTTTTTTCAAAATATTATTTTAAAAAGTATCAGAATAATAAACCAAACGGACCCTATACTGTAGTAAACTGATAAAAAGACAAATGACAGAATCACTGTATTATGATTGAAATGAAAGGATCAGAGAGCTTCAAGTTAAATCTTACGGTTTCCTCCCAAATTGTTTAATCCACTCGTCATTTTCATAAAAAGGAATTTCATAGCGGCCGTCAGCCAAACGAATGCTATCTTCAATATCCATCTCCAGCCATTTTTTGTCTTCTAGGGACATAAAATCTCTTGATATAATTTTTCCTTCAGCACGCATCTTTGCTTCAAGCCTTTGGGGGAAATGTGCAAAAAGCAACTCAATTAAGTTATATAACATAGAAATGATTGCACAGATTTCTAACCATTGAGTTAATAAATGATGATAAACATACTTGGAACCTGGCACAGGTTCTATATCAGGAATGTCAACTTCAACAACACCATGGCCATCCATATTGTTCTGAAGCCATTCACCTTCATACCTAAAAAGCAAGAGTTCTGTAAGAATTTTTTTCCCTTTTTTTTTTTTTTTTTTTAAATATATAACTTGCAGATTACATGACAAGTGTCAAACAGTGTCTAAACCCCAAATTAATTTTCAGTCCAATCAGGATATGCAAGTGTCCTTCAAACTCAAAATTGAATGAAAAGTAAATAACCAAGTGTTTTGGAGAGCAATTAGCAAGAGAGATGTATGAAATGAACCATAACAGCAACTACTAAGATAGATGTCAGACAAACCTGACTAAACCTTGCTCAGCAATATAAACACCTTTTCCATGAGCCAAGTCATCCCAGACGGTGCCTTCATACCTTGAAACAACAAAAGCATCATTATGGTAACAAGTCATAGAATAAGATGACACACGGAGGCAGGGGAAGCACTTCAAACTAGTAGTTCAAACAACATAAAATATAATTTTTTTTCTCAAAACAACAACAAATCTCCCAATTGGTTCAGAAAATTTACAATTAACAAAACTCACATCTAACAAACTACCGAAAAAAATAGAAATCAGAGAACCATCATTGACAGAACTTATTTGATTGTTCCAGAAGCAACTTTATCCTATGGACTTCCCACATCAACCTGCAGTATTGTGATAAACTCAAATTCACAAAAAATATACAATACAAATTTCCTAGAGGTTGAAAGACCTCCAAAATCATAATTCATATCCTCTAATAGCATCAAACAAAATATGGTGTAACAACACAATCAAGATTACAGCAAAAGCGCCCAGCAATAAACCAGCTTTAAATATTCTTGTATTGATGCAATAATCACTATAAGTTAAAAGTAAGCAAAGTAAAAAACTATATAATATGTACAATCTACTGATTAAGGAAAGACTATTCAGACATGCTGAAAGGGTGATATGCGGCCAACACACTTAGGAAAGCCCTTAATCTTATTATTTCTTGGATAAAGTATTTGGAGTTTAAGGTATCAAATTGGTCTATATTCTGTTAACATAATGAGTAAATATACACGCATATTTATTTAGAGAAAATGCAAATCCAATCAATAAAGTGAAATGAATGTGTAATGCAGTACATGAGATTTAAAATTTGATAGGTTCCACCAATTCATCAAAGATTAAAAAAAAAAAAGGAGCGCGATGCAATCATCAAATGTGAAATCCCATTCATTCAAAATCACACATGTCAAGAAAAATAAATTATAAGAAAACATGGAATGAATTCCAAGACACAGAGAAGAGCCATGTAATCTTCAATAGAAAGGCAACCGGAAAAAAAAAAAAAAAAAAAAAAAAAAAAAAGCACCAACATGAATATGACCATCTTTCAGGCACTTTATACCCTGAAATCCATAACCATTTCTTTCTCATTTTTTTTTCAAAGGAATGACCATATAAATATATATTGGGAAAATGTCAATGCAACATAACATGTAAACACAGCCATAAAATACGTTCCAAGATAAATAAGAGCTAAAACAAGCTTACAATAAAATAATGAGGCTTAATAAATCTAATTCCTCGATTACTGCCTTCTGGTTCAACACTCCACTAGTGAAACAAATGTCGAAACTCCAAGACAGTAAAGAACACATACAACAATTGGGAAAAATTCATCCTCTTAAATCTCCCATTATCACTGTCCATTCAAATGTATAACAAAATTCACACGTTTGAAACAATCAATCAAAAAACATCATAAAATACTTATGAAAACACTATGGTACAAATTACATTACTGAAATGATATCATCTACAATTTACATTCCAAATTTCCGTTAATGTTTCAAAGTTAAATGTTACTCCAAGCACATAAGAAATTAAAAAAATAAAAGTAGACAAGAAAAACTTACGAGCTTCCATCAGCGAAAATGTAGCTGACCCAAGTGAGAAACTCCTCAATCCGATCCAATTCCTCGACCACAGCCTTGGGATTGGATATATCATAATGATTATCGGGTATTGCCGGGTAGTGTTTCCTATAGGGCAAATAAAACGGGGCAATAGGCGGGTCCCGTCCCGCCTCAATCTCCTCCCTAACCACTTCCCAATCATCCTCGTCAGCCCAAACCGGGTCCCACCCCGGTTTGGTCATTTTCAACGGAGCATCCGCCCACAGCTCTTTCAAATCTTCCTCCTTCCAATTCTCCGGATCTTCGGGAAAATTATAAAGGTCTTCGATGGTAACATAGTTTTGCTCCTCTTCTTCCAGTTCTTCTCTGACTCTTTTGCTGTTGAGGAGCCTCGTAAAGCGGCGAATGTTGGTTTCGGCTGTGTTGTCGGATGCAGGCGGCTCGTCGCCGGGTCGGACGTAGGTTAGCGGTTCGTCCTCATTATCAGTGACGTAGTAGTCGTCCTCGCCGATGACTTCGTCGTCGGAAGTCTCGGACGAGGATTCTGGCTCAATTGGGGGCTCTTCTTCTTCTTCATCGTCTTCTTCTTCTTCTTGGTCCTCATTTTCTTCTTCTTCTTCTTCTTCTTGTTGCTGCTGTTGCTGTTGAAGTTGGTCTTCTTGGGTGGGCATTTTTTGAGTAGTTTTGAGTTTGAAGAGAGTGTGAGTAAGAAGATAAGGTGAAGTTTACTAAGGAAACAGGAATAAGGGTTTATAGAGGATTTTGTATTGTTTTGTTTTGTTTCATTTCACTGCCACGTTCTCTCTAAACAGATAACCATAAATTTCACTTTACAAATTCTCATAATTTTCCTTCTTCATTTTGACACTGTTTTTTTATAAATATATTTAAAAAAATATGCATAATTAATATTTGTATATATTTATTAACAACTAAACTAATCACATTAGAAGTGTTTATCCTTGTAATCTAATGATTAAGATATTAAAGAGTTAATTGGATTAATAATTAAAAGTTGATATATATAGTGTCATCCTCTATTAAAACATTAAACATGTTTTCTTAAATGAAAATGATAAAATAGATTAATGGTATATGACTTGTAATTAAATTGATGATGATACTATATTTTAAAATAAATACATAAAAAGGAAGATGAAATAAGTGAGAACATTTTTTTTATATTTAATCCGTGAACAAACAAGGGATGGGAATGGGTTCTCCATTCCTTTGTTTACTAAGGGCCATTCTTCTAGTTCCACTCTTTAAAATTTTATTTTTGACTTCACTTTGAATACAATATTTCTACATTGTCCGTTAAATGATATATTTCAATATTAATAATTTTGTTATCATTAGATTATAATTTCAATAGTTAAATATTTTAAAATATAAGTTAACCCAAAATTTTGAAGGTAAATATTTGTTCTTTCTTTTATTTAAATAAAAAATAAGGCAATACATTATAATGAAAATTTGATAAATAATAATATGAAAGTATATTTCATTGTAATATTAATGTTTGGGCCAAAAATCTTAATGGACTTTTTCAAGCCCAAAGATGAAACAAATGTTACATTTCCCAACTCCAATTGGGTTCACGCTTAGATCCACTCTACAAATCAACCAATTCTGTAACATGGGTTGTTTATCAGATTAGATTGACCCAAGAATGAAGGCCACTCCATGAAGTGGGCCTTAACTCACAAAGGCCCTGGCCCACTAGCTTGCTATCCTATTCAGGAATCAAAGTTCCATCTTCATCCAAATTCATCTAAGATCTTGAATCTTACATGAATTAGGACTTTTACTCCTACAAACCAAGACTTTCCTGTTTACTCAAATTCAACTATTATGAACTAAGAGTTTCACTAGGACTCAAGCCCTTTGAGCTCCCTATATAAAACGANAAAAAATATGCATAATTAATATTTGTATATATTTATTAACAACTAAACTAATCACATTAGAAGTGTTTATCATTGTAATCTAATGATTAAGATATTAAAGAGTTAATTGGATTAATAATTAAAAGTTGATATATATAGTGTCATCCTCTATTAAAACATTAAACATGTTTTCTTAAATGAAAATGATAAAATAGATTAATGGTATATGACTTGTAATTAAATTGATGATGATACTATATTTTAAAATAAATACATAAAAAGGAAGATGAAATAAGTGAGAACATTTTTTTTATATTTAATCCGTGAACAAACAAGGGATGGGAATGGGTTCTCCATTCCTTTGTTTACTAAGGGCCATTCTTCTAGTTCCACTCTTTAAAATTTTATTTTTGACTTCACTTTGAATACAATATTTCTACATTGTCTGTTAAATGATATATTTCAATATTAATAATTTTGTTATCATTAAATTATAATTTCAATAGTTAAATATTTTAAAATATAAGTTAACCCAAAATTTTGAAGGTAAATATTTGTTCTTTCTTTTATTTAAATAAAAAATAAGGCAATACATTATAATGAAAATTTGATAAATAATAATATGAAAGTATATTTCATTGTAATATTAATGTATGGGCCAAAAATCGTAATGGACTTTATCAAGCCCAAAGATGAAACAAATGTTACATTGCCCAACTCCAATTGGGTTCACGCTTAGATCCACTCTACAAATCAACCAATTCTGTAACATGGGTTGTTTATCAGATTAGATTGACCCAAGAATGAAGGCCACTCCATGAAGTGGGCCTTAACTCACAAAGGCCCTGGCCCACTAGCTTGCTATCCTATTCAGGAATCAAAGTTCCATCTTCATCCAAATTCATCTAAGATCTTGAATCTTACATGAATTAGGACTTTTACTCCTACAAACCAAGACTTTCCTGTTTACTCAAATTCAACTATTATGAACTAAGAGTTTCACTAGGACTCAAGCCCTTTGAGCTCCCTATATAAAACGAGGTATGCCCTCTAATTAGGGATTCAACTCCAATATCACCTACATACTCCCAAGTTCTTGCTCCCAAGAACCATCGCCTCCCGACAAGATTCCGGTGACCTTACCATAGCCCTCACTAAATTGCCTTTCAAGTCTTACTGACTTGAGTGTCAGAGTGCTTATGGCAGACACCACAACGATGTCCACCGTGAGCTTCATGCTTACTTCTTTGAGTGTGCAGGTATAGAAGATCGTCATTGGCCTCAACCTCACAAGATCATTCCCTTTCGTAATTGTAAATTTTTACTGTTTACAATTAACTTGACAAAGAATGTTTAATATCTAGTCTCCGACGAGATTCCGATAACCTTCCCTTAACCCTCACTAAATAGCCCTTTAAGCCTTACTGACTTGAGCATCGGAGTGCCTACGATAGACACCACAACAGTGTCCCCCGTGAGCTTCGCGCTTACTTATTTGTGTGTGTTGGTCTAGAAGATCGTCATTGGCCTCAACCTTACAGGATCCGTCCCTTTCGTAACCATAGATTTTTACCGTCTACAATTAACATGACAAAGAATGTTTGATATTTATTTAGTAATTTTATCTTTACAATAAAAATCATAATATATACAGTAAAACCTCTCTATAGTCAAAATGGTGGGACCAACTAATTTTATTACTATGAGAAGGTTATAACTTGTAGTTGCAAAAATTAGTGTTTTGATTTTTGATTTTATAATTCATGTTTTATTAGTACAATATTAGGGTTTCAATTATATTTTATTAGTATTAGGATTTCAATTCAGCACTTCAATTGTCTACTTTTGAAACAGATAGAAGATCGTATCTTGAAACCAACAAAGATAAGTGTCCTTGATGGAACTGTATGTTAGACTTTTTGCATTATGGTCTTACACTTTTAATATAATTACATTATGGTCCTACATTTTTATGCTGATGTGGACTGATGTGGTCATACGGTTGTGTCTCTTCTCTTGAGCAGTTGTCTTTGATGGAAAGACAACTGCATATAAAAAGGAGACTTAACAGGTCACCATTAGAAGCAATTGTCATTTTAGATTCCCAAAACCATCATTCTAAAATTGCAGTCAGTGGAAGATCCTGTATTTTGAAGGAGCAAGAAGATTAAACAACAATTGCTATGGCTGGAGGTTTGTCATTTACTTCCGCATATATTCCATGGAGATTTTATGATGAAATTGATTGTATTATCAACTTTTATATGAATATTGGAATATGAATGTATTTTACATTTGGTATTAAAGCATTGTTTGAATCTCTACCTAGCATGAAATTGTTTGTTGCAAATCTGAAAAATATTGCATAAAATTGGGATTTTTCAATTAAAACCCGTACTGTAAATCAAGCATAACTTTTATTATAAATAGAATATGTTTTCAATTTTGGTGTCATTAGAATCCTTGTTGAAAAACCTTTCCAACGGTATATTGTTTGCCAAAAACAGAGTTCTAGTTGCAAAGTTATGCTAGTTTAAAATTTTGGTTAGAAATTATCGTTTGGGTGTTTTTGGAAGCCATTTACGGCACCGATTTAAGACGAAATTGTCATTTGGGATGTCATCGATATAGGTTATATGTCCACATTCAAGTTTCCCCTCTAAAACGCCAGAAAAATGGCCGAAAATGGGCTGTTGAAAATCTGCAAAACTGGGTAAAAGGTTACAGAAAATGGGTCAAAATGAACCGACCCAATAGGACAAATGGGTCAAACTGACCCAATCAAAGTCAACAGTCAAAACGGGTCAAACGACCTGATCAAACCAACCTAAAACCCGACAAGTCAACCGACCCGGTCAACACGATCAATGAACCGATCAAAGGGCACAGACCGGTCAAGCAGTTCAGACCAGTCAAGCAGTTCAGACCAGCCCAATGGACCGAACCGAGTCAACCCGCCCCGGTCAAGCGGGTCAAACAGACCCAGGTTAAGACTTGGCATGTGCTGGTGCGTAAGGAAGCTTATGCTTGCGTCAGGCGAGTGAGGGTGTGTGTTTAGGCATGTGAAAGCGCGTGGTAGGGCCATGTAGGCACGTGGAAGTGTGTGTTGCATTCTGACGGTGTGTGAAGGCGCGTGGGGACACGTGGTTTAGTCACGGTGGCGCGTGGGAGTCGGTGACAGCGTGTATGATGACTTTTATGTCATATATTGCTTTGTTATGCATAAATAATGTGTTATTCTTGTATTGATTTGTGTTATATTATATAATTCATGTTATAAATTATTTGATGTTTTATGATCGTATATATTTGATTAATTTAGAGTAGCCGCAACATCTAAATTATGATAATATATGCATTAAGTAATATTAGTTATGATCATATTAAGGTTAATAACATCGTTTTGTAGTTAATCATATTAATATAATCATTTTACCCACAAGGAATGTTATATTTTCATGATTAATTAGGGATGAAATAGAAATTATTCTTATTTCTTAATTAGCCCACAGGTATTATGAAATATTAATAATTTCTGTTTTCATCATTAAGGATATGAATCATAAATGTAATGTTTTTACCCACAGGGAATTTTATGATATGTCGATTCATTTATGTTATTTTTTTGTTTTACATGTTAAACTTATAATTGTTATTGATGGTTTGTGCCTCATAATTATTTAGTAAGCATGTCTATTGATATACCTATAGTTGATCAAACTTGATGATGGTTGAGGATAGGTTCCTAATTAAATGGTTAACTACAAACTGGAGAGAGGCTGCCTTCTCTTTTAGGTGCATTGACTTGACTGTGCTCTTCGTAAGGAAAGCCGCATACACCTACAGATACTAGCTCTCAAGCT